AATGAATTTACTTTCGGAAGCCTGTAATTAGTCTGTTTGTTCCTTTTTTGGGTTAAAAATGCATCAATGCTTAACTTCCAGCCCCATGTCATAGTACATTGTGCAGCAGAGAGAAGGCCAGATGTTGTAGAAAATCAGCCAGATGCTGCTTCTCAACTTAATGTGGATGCTTCTGGGAATTTAGCAAAGGAAGCAGGTAATGATGACTTTATAAAATCCTCAAAAAATATTAAATAATCAAATTATTAAAGATTAGTTTTTTAGATTATGAGTGTATATACATTTATATATATAAAATGAAGAGTAAACCTTTCTAAATTGCTTTAAACAGTAATATCAAGTAATAATTTAATAGATTGATTTCTTTTTGTTTTTGTGTCTCTCTTTATAGCTACAATTGGAGCATTTCTAATCTACATTAGCTCAGATTACGTATTTGATGGAACAAGTCCGCCTTATAGAGAGGAAGATACAGCAAATCCCCTAAATTTGTATGGCAAAACAAAGTTGGAAGGAGAAAAGGCTGTCTTGGAGAACAATTTAGGTAAGATAAAATATTTTTAGTCTCTGACAGTTGTTGAGGAGTCCTTCTTTTTGGATAGTGTAGGTATTATTTTAATTTAAAAAAATTTCTCAACACAAATCATTGGAGAAAAATGAGAGAATGCATCAAGAAAAAAGAAAAGAATTTTAGTAGTTGTAAAGGATAATTACTTTCTGAGACCTTTCAGACCTTCCAATATGAAATTACACACATACATATTTCTACATAGAAAACAAATCGTTTAGTGCAAATATTTATAATCTACTTTTGAAAATTATAGGCCAATCTATTTTTCCTTGGCTTTAGGTATTGTATGTGTTTTTCTCTTTCTCCTGTGTGTGCGTGTGTGTGTCTGTATACGTGTCATTGCCTTTGAGTTGATTTTGATTCACAGCGACCCTACATGCCAGGATAGAACTGCCCCATGGGATTTCATAAGCTGTAATATTTGCAGGAGCAAATCATCATCAGGTCTTTTCTTCTTGGAATACACTGGTGGATTTGAACTGCTGCCAGTCTTTCAGTTAGCAGCTGTGCACTTAACCATTGTGCCACCAGGGCTCCTTGTGTATATATCCATAACCCATTGCCCTTAAGTCAGATCCGACTCATAGCAACCCCTCCTTGGGTTTCCGAGGTGGTATCACTATGGAAATAGATTGCTCAACCTTCCGTCTGAGGAGTGGATGGTGGGTTTGAACCACCAGCCTTCTGGTTAGCAGTCAGGTGCCTTAGGCACTATGCCACCAGAGCTCCCTGTATGTATGTATGTATGTATGTGTCTGTGTGTGTGTGTGTATATATATATATATATATACATACATACACACCCATATAAATGTATGTGAAGAATGAAAATCTTACAGTGCTACCTCAGGGACGTAAGCACCAAAGCTGCTTATCTATGAAAGCATTTTTTGTGTATGGTATTTTAAAAAAATGTGTATGTGTTATTTTATAGAAGTCCCTTGGTGATGCAGATAATTAATGCTAACCAAAAGGTTGGAGGTTCAAGTCCACCCAGAGGTACCTTCAAAACCTGGCAGGCTGCGTCTAAAATACCAGCCAAACCCTGTCAAGCACAGTTTTACTCTGACATACGTGGGGTCACCATGAGTCGGAATTGACTCAATAATAACTGTTTTTTGCTTTTTAAAAAATTTGTTACATAACCTTTTTCTCCCCACATCTTCACATTTTAAAACATAGCATCAACTCTGGGATATCTTATTTCTGGTAATGTCTGTATAGTATTAATAGATCATCTACACTAACCCTACTGCCTTATACCATACTATCCTTGAGGAAACTCCCCTAATATAAGATCCCATACTAATGGACATTTAGTTTTTGGTTTATTATCTTTTAGGAATCATCTTTGAATACACGCCTGTATACACTTGTCCATTAATTTAATTTTTAAAGAAAATGTTTGTTGACATTTAAGAGTCACTTATCTGAAGACTATGTCCCTGGGTGGTGTACGTGGTTTATGCTTGATTGTAAATGAAAGGTGGTTGGTTCATAGTTAACCAGCACTGCCACAGAAGAAAGGGCTCATGATCTGCTTCCATAAAGATTACGGGGGGGGGGGGGGGGGAGAAAACCCTATGAAGCAGTTCTACTCTGTAACATGGGGTTGATATGAGTCAGAAGTGACCCAGTGGCATTGGGTTCCAAAGACTAAATCAGAGCCAACCCCTCAACAGAGACCTTTGTAAAAGTGAAATACCTCAAAATTCCTTAATCAGTAGTTGTGAGAATAATGAGGTGAACATCACATACCCTTCATATAGTCACCAATTATCAATGTCTTATCACTTTTTTAAAATACAGTTTTTGACTGAATTCGGTAAGAATTAGTTGAATTTTACCCCCAAACCCTTAACCATGTATTGTCTAAGAACAAAGACATTCTTATACATAATAACAGTACAGTTATCACACTCAGAAAGCTTAAGATTAATACAATACTATAATCAAATACATCATTTATATAGGAATTTTCATAATTGTTACAATAATGTCCTTTATTGCTTTTTATCTGTTAATCTGGTATCCAGTGAAGGATCACTCAATGTATTTAGTTGTCATGAGTACTTTTAATGATCATAAAATTAAGAAATTAGATCTCTTGCTGTATAAAAATACCCCAGAATGACAGAAGTCATTTAAAAATATTCGAGATCACATGTATTGAATTGCATTGTCACAGGTGAACTGTTTCATTTTGATGTATTTTTATTAAAGGCACACATTCTACATTAATGTTGTTTAAGTCCACAGACTTTCACATTGTATCAAAACTTAAGAATCAGTCAGCTTTAAAATAGTAATGTGTTTCAATTCAATTTCAGGAGCTGCTGTTCTGAGAATTCCTATTCTCTATGGAGAGGTTGAAAAGCTTGAGGAAAGTGCTGTGACTGTTATGTTTGATAAAGTGCAGTTCAGCAATAAGTCAGCGAACATGGACCACTGGCAGCAGAGGTTTCCCACTCACGTCAAGGACGTTGCCACTGTGTGTCGCCAGTTAGCAGAGAAGAGAATGCTGGTGAGAATTTTTGAAAGCAAGAGTTCTAACTTTGTAAAAAAAAAAAAAAATCCTGTTTGTCTTTTCTATGTGTGAGCTTAGTAGCTATCCATAAATAGCTTAGGCAGCTATTTATGGAATGTAAATGAACAGAAGTTAAGGTATATTTTTAAAAACTAGGAGGAGACTAAACTACAGTTGTTTATATGTAGTAGCATACCTAAGGCACTTGACTGCTAACCAGAAGGCTGGCGGTTCAAACCTACCAGCCACTCCTCGGAAGGAAGATGGGGCAATCTACTTCTGTAGTGATACTGCCTCGGAAACCCAGGGAGGGGTCTCTATGAGTCGGGTCTGACTCGACGGCACATAACAACAACAACAACAACAACATATTAATCAGTCAGCGAGGAAGGGGGACCCTCAATGAGATGGATTGACATAGTGGCTGCAGTGATGGGCTTAGGCATAACAAGAATTTTGAGGGTGGTAATAGGATGAGGGCAGTATTTCGTTCTGTTGAGCATAGGGTTGTTATGAGTCAGCGCTGACACAGTAGCACCTAACAACAACATTAATCAGTATTAAAAATATTATGGTTTTGCCTTTGAATTTATTTCTCAAATACTATAGACTCCATCTTAGTTCTCCAGTGCTGTTATAACAGAAATACCATAGGTAGATGGCTTTAACAAACAGGAATTTGTTCTCTTGCAGTGTAGGAGGTTAGAAGTCTAATTTAGAGTGCCAGCTTTAGGGGCTGGGTGAAGGCCCCTCTACCTTGGGCTTCAACTCTGCTTCTGGTTCCAGGCCCTCTGAAGCTGGAGGCCTCTAACTCACTCAGTTGCTGGTTGTTGAGGTTGACAAACCCAGTATTGACAGGTAAAATGGCACAATCCCAGGATCAGCAGGCAACACAGCAGGCCACTAGTTCAAGTCCAGGAACCATCCCAAGATCAGCAGGCAAGGTGGCAGGCTGCTGGTTCAAGTCCAAAAACTGGAGATGAAAACTCAGCCAAATAGAGGATCCAAAACATGCCAGAAAGCTAGAGACCAGAGTTTCTCCATATATACTGAGAACAAACCACACTCTGAAGGCAGCTGATCACTGCTCACAGCATATTCCACCATGGAGTTGATTATACTTCATCCAGTCTCATCATGGGGAGTAACTACTACATCCAGCTGCCACGCCACTCAAAATCATGGCCCAGCCAAGTTGACACAACCTTAACTGCCACAACCCCACCTGTTGTTTCTTGCAACATGACTGAAAACTCTTACTTTATTCCTTTGCATTGAAAGATAATCACCTACTGATTTTTAAGGAAGTTACTCATTAAAATATATGTAGCACCAAAGAAAAATTTAAGTAGGAATTTTTATTTTTAGTCACTTTAAAGATATATTTTTTTTTTGTATTTGACTAGGAGTTAATTTTAAACATTTGAAAACATTGGTGCTAAATGGTATATATCCCTAAACAGAAAGAGCCTGAATTTGTTTAGAATATTAAAATAGTATAGCCATAATTTTTTAATATTTAAAAATTTATATTTACTTTAAATACATACTATTAAAATATTTAAGAAGGGTACGACTAGCTCATCTTGCAGACTGGTTCTATTAAGATTTGGTTTTTACTTCTTAAGACTTATAAGAAATATTCATTAAGTTGAACTCGCCATAAAAATGTGTAATTAGTATTCCCACGAATTGAATTAAATTTGAGCCATTTTTACTTTTATCTCAACAAAAAACTTAGAATTTATTTCAGATTTTGCTTTTGATGTTCAGCTGGGAATATTTATACAAATGTGATTTTAGATAACTTGATGAGAGCTTTCCAGAAAAGGAGGGGTGAATTTTAGTTTCTAGATCTTTATAATTAGTTTTTTTTTTATTATTATTGTGATTTGGGTGAAGATTCACTGAGCAAATTCACTTTCCGTACAGCAGTTCACATATACTTTGTCTCATGTCATTAACCACAGTTTACCACAATGCAACAGCTCCCCTCCCACTTCCTCCCCACAGTTACCTCTTCCTAGTGTCCATCCTTCCATGGACT